CATTAGTTTAGAATATTGTTTATTCCTGATGCTTCCTCTGTTTGAGAACTAATCTTACTAAAAATAGTATTGACAGTAGGAATCTGACTTACCTGTTGACCCCAAATGAGGTCTGTTCCAATATAGCCACCATTAATTAGTTGGTCTGTGCACTATGTTGCGGTAGGCATCTTGAATGATCTAGTGTAGGCGGTGCACAGTGTTGTAGCCCATGAGCGACAGTGAGGACACCGGAGAGGACGACCGCAGGATCTTACGATCAGCTAGAGGCCCGATAACTCACGTGTCCCTAGGACCGGGGGGTGATAGGGAACTGTTCCGCTGGCAGAGGGAGAGGCAGCAGCAGAGGAGAGCTAGAGCAGCCGAGGCCAGCAGGGCATTAGCTAGCGAGGCCGGTGCTACAGCAGCCATGGCTACCACAGCCATGAGCACGTCTGCGCAGCAGACTTCCCAAGCCGGTAGTTCAGGTACCGCCGGGTCCACGGTCGCGCAGACCGTAAGTCAGTCCACTGGCTTAATGACAAGCCAGCCCGGGGTGTTGACCCCAGAGGATGTCGCCATCCAGCAGGCAGCCCTGCAAGAGGCACAGCTACAACAGGCATTAGGACAGATAAAGAGGGAGAAGGAAATGTTGATTAGAAGAAGAACCAGGATGCAACGAAGAGGGGCAGACATAGAGGAGTTAGAGACGATGGACCTGACGAACATGGATGACAATGTGAGGGTAGTTAGGAGGGCCCTGCTAGGGGTAATAGAGATGCAGGAGCATCAGACTACCATCCTTCATGACATCCAGCAGAGCCTAGCCATTTTGGTAGGGCGTTCTCAGGCAGCGCCATCACCGGCAGGGTCGGGTGCCTGGCCTGTGCCATATCCTCCCTTTTCTGTTCCACCGGTGACTGGGGTATCCCCATATGTAGCCCCTTCATCAGTTGCTATCGTTTCCCTGGGCATGCCTCTGTCAGGAGGGTTAACAGCAGGGAGTAGTTTACAGATTCCTGTACAGACAGTGTTCTCTCCAAGTCCGTCACAGGTTGCAGTCACCGCGCAGCCTGGTGTCTCGCAACCTGTGCAGCCACAGGGCACACAGCCCCAACAGCTAGCACAGCAACCTGTATCACCGGGTTCACAGCCCGGGGTGGTGCAGGGACCGGGACAAACCCAGTGGGTTCCAAAGACGGCCATCGCCGCTCCTAAACCTTTTACAGGGGACAAGAGAGGCGAAGACCTCAACACTTGGTTGAGGGCAGTGCCAGTCTACGTCAGGTGTAAACTCACCTTGCCACACGAAGAAGTGCTTGTGGCTGCATCCTACCTAGAGGGTAGTGCAGCAAGATGGTTGAGTGGTTTAGTACAACTCCAGGGGCACGGTCATGACTTCCGCTCTTGGGCAGTCTCCCAGAAGCTGGAGGACTTCCTGAAGATGGTGGAAGAGAGATGGCATGATCCTCAGGAGGCCCAAAAGGCCACTGATGTGATCCTCACACTGCACACGCGGCAGTTTAAGTCAGTTAGGGAAGCCACAGACGCTTTTCAACGTTTAATCTGTGTCCCAGGTGTGCGCTATGACCCCCAGGTCCTGTTAACTTCGTACTTGAGATGCTTATCCCAGCCTCTCAGGAACCAGTTGGCAAAAGAGGCCAACATCAATATGCACAACTT